CAGCTGGGGTTTCTGTGAAAACCAGCTGGAGTGGCATGGGAAGGGATTGCTGGGAAATGAAACCTGGCTGCTGGCCAGATGCACCATTTTGCCCACCCTAACCTAGAATCAAATAATTTAGACCCCTTGTAGATGCTACAGTTACAACTCTATTAACTTCTTAATCACATTTTAAATAATAACTCAGCTCCAAGTTTGGGTAGTTAATGATGCAACAAAATGCAAAGCCAGCCACAAAATTATTCCACAGAATGTGTAATTGTTTTGTGGCTGGCTTTCATCATGCCTTAAAGTGTGTGTCGCAGAGTCCCTGCCACACGGTCTAATATGGCTGCCTGGGCTCTCTCAACAGTTCCAGTGCTGGCAGGCTGACAGCTGCATGGCATAGTCTAATGTTGCACATCCTGCCATGCATGTCTGGTATGACAGGAGGCAAGAGTTGGCAGCGGGGATCAGATTCCAATACATCTTGAAATGAATGTGCGCCAGGGACCTTAGTGTCTGTTTTGGTTTGATAGTCCTCTGTACATTCAAGGATCATGTTCACCCTATTAGTAACAGCAGTATAGGCTCAACTAGTTATCTAATGCTACACACGCACATCCTCTCTGGTGTCAATGCATTCTGGAAAACTCTCACGTTGTAAGCACAGCCTGCCTTATCTGATCCTTGTCTTTTACCATCGCTAAATTAACCTTCAAATTATTCCCTTCCCAAGCAATCCAGCCTTCATAACTGACCAAGCCCAACCATTTTTGGGTCATCTGCAAACTTTTGAGCTGTTTATTCCAGGCAACTGAAGGAGACTTTTCAAGAATAATTATTGTTCATATTCCTCTGAGGACCCACCACACTGAATACTTTTGTACATTAGGAGTTAACATCCTATCTTGTTTAAAAAGGGTTGCAATGCTGTTGAATGGTTCTATTTTTTTTAAACTCATATTCATGCAGGACAAAGTTCAATGTCTTAAATTTATGATGTTAAAACACCCACTAAAAAGATCATCATAAGTCCAGTTTGTAAATAAAAGCAATTTATTATATTCAAGGAATAATCCGTTTCTCAAGTAAATTTCACATTGCACAGTCATGTAAACAAGTAGTTTTCAACCTAATTATATTAAACAAAAACTGTCACCCACACAAACACTAACAAAGGAAAAACCGTAGAAGAAAATGTATGAAAAACGTGAAAACTATTAAGCAAAAACCAGGATCAAAATTTTAAAAAAGTCACCAAGGCACCTGATTGCTTCCTACTTCAGAGTTCCAGCTTTGTGCTCTCTCTCATTCTCATAAAGTGAAAATTACTTCTTTCTCAGATGTCTCTCTGTTTGAGTAGGGACCATTCCTGTAGAATGGTCTCTACTTCAAGATCTAGGGCTTCTGACATGCTGGCTCAAACAGTCATTGGGATAAATGACAAGCGTGGTTGAAATGGTCCACTTTAACAAATATGGAGGGAGAGAAGTAAACCTTGCTTCTTCCCCTAATCTATTTGTTATTTATACAAGTAGACATAGCTGCTCTTGTTCATTCAAGTAGCTCCCATTGAGTGTAACACAGATCATATCTGAATATTGTGGACGCTGTCCTTGGTGCTTACCAGTTTCCATTAGATGCTCCTTTCTACAAGTACAAGGTCCATCCTTATGATTTACTATTTTAACTAGTTCTTGTAATAAAAAAAAGCTTAAAGTTTTAAATTAAAATCAGCAGAGATCCTTATTAACCACAGATTGATTTAATTCAAAGGGACTACAGACACATCCCCTACTCTAAAGCTCAGGTTAACTGAATTCAAGTAAACCCTATAACTTGTCTTCCAACAAGAACAAACCCTGGAAATCCCAGACTGAGTGACATATTGACACAAGCAATCCAAACATGCATCTTTGTGTTTACTTTTAGTATATCTTCACTATACAAGTCACCAAATATATCTTTTCAGACATGTACAAAAAGTATCCATGTACATTTGGATAATGATAGTGCCAGGCAACAGGGAGGCAAACTGGGTGGGTCCTGGGAGTGCTCAAACTTGGTCAACCAAGATACTACAAAATGCCAGGAGTAATTTAATAGTAAATAATTAATGTCATCTAGGAGTTAACAGTTTAGGGATCACTTAAAATGTAGACAGACATTGCCTTATTTTAAGACACAATCTTGCTTTCCTATACGCATGTGGCACTTGTCACAATAGTTGGTGAAAACAAAATGCAAAACTTATTTCCATGTATCACATCATGCATTTTCCCTGTATATTTACATTTCCCATCAAGAATCCAGTGAAGGAAAACAGTTCAATCTTACAGTGGTTATTCTGATGTTATGCTAGCCAAACTACTCATTTGAGAGAGGTCTCAGAGGCAGGCCTCTCTGTCCATTTCAGCATGATTCACCTGAATCACAGGAGTGAAATAAAAGCTCTTCATTACTCACTATCATCTCTATCCGGGGCAGCCTTGTGTTGAAAAAGCAGCAATAATCAAAATGGACTAAGCAAGTTTGAATAAGTTAGGTTTAAAGCCATTACGACCGCAAATTTCTCTGAAGAGCTTGCATTTCATTTGCCCATCTTCTCTGCAAATTAATAAGCCTGAGCCCAAGTATTTCTGGGAATCATTTCCTTGCACTAGCTGCCTATTTAGTATCACACACACAAATTAATCTGTGCTGAAACTGGTACTTTGTTTCCCTGATCTTGCAAAATTTAAACCAGCATTAAATTCCCAATGTTTGTTAGAAAATCCACTTGCTAAATAGAAAGGTGCAGGGTTGGTTTGGTTCACATGGCTCCACCAGCTCTAAAAAACACAGAGAGTTAAGTCTAGAGGATTTGAGATGGCTAACACTTCTATCTTCCCATGCCACCCTGACTTACGAGAGATTAAATAGGTAGATAAATGAATGTACCACAGCCCTGCTCTGCCTGTTTCTTTTTCACTATGTGGGTTCTGGAGTTTTCACTAATAACATACAGAACAGAGCCAGCAAAGCTTAACATACAGCTTACGTCTCATTTGTGGCAAAAACCCATTTTAAGTTCTTAGTACATGTCTGTAAGTAAGTTGTAATCACAGCTCGTCTTTCGTGCAGCACGGCTCTACCAGGATCACAATTCTGTCAGGAAGTGTTGTAATGATTTCCATATCCTTGTTCTAGATCCTGCAGTAAAGTCATTTTTTTGCCAAGAGAATAGTTCTATTACAACACCCTTTTGGAAAAACAAAATGAGTATGAAAACACTGGCCACTCCTTCTGTCAATATCCTTGTGTTCAGAGTCACTTGTGCAACCTTTTTTTGTCCTCTATGTACAATCTCTTCTCAGTGTTCCCTTGCTCTAACAAATGGTTTACGGCATTTCACGACTCTCTTAAAGTGCCACCTCACGGTTTGTGTTCTCAGGCATCCTTATTTAGTCAAGGAAAGCATTCCAGTTCATTGATCGCTACATACTACGCAAATCTGGAGGCCATACTAGTGACTGGAATTCTTCCAGTAACTTTAAGTGCAGTCACATGCATCTCAGGATAGAACTTAATCTTTAAATATTTTAAAGCATTACATAGTTAATTAAGAAAAGGGAGTTTTCATGCAGCAAGTGGAAGAGCATAATCAAAAGTTTAACAAGCACTGTCACAGCAGATGCAAACACTGTAGTAGTGGCTATATTTTCCAAACACAACTATAGTCAGATTATACACAATCATAATATGTTACAACAACCAGGGGAAAAAAAAATCCAGTCCTGATGGTAACCAGTCAACCAAGTGTCTTCAGCCAATACTCATCCCTATCTAATTCTGTCTCCATTTTTTGTGGAAAAAACACACACAGAAATATACACTGGCATTTATGCTAACATTAGGAGTGAGAGGATTTGTGAGATTTCACTGGATCTCACTATGAGCCACAAAAGCTCCCGACTGCATTCTTGCTCCTTATTTCTTCCTCTCCAGGGATAAGTATGTTCCAGGTAAAACAGAGAGAGAAAGGGAGTATAGAGCACCCCTGACAAACCCAGCATCTGAAAAAAGACACTGTGCTGCGCAACAACAAAAAAGCTCCAAAATGCAAACAAATAGCAGCTCTTAAAACAAAGTAGAGAATTCTGGCAGATCAGGCTCCAAACTAATTCCAACGATCTTGCTATGTGTCTGGTTCATGTTTGCTGCCAGACTGTAACTTTGGTTCCTTACACTAAACAGTGGATCACAATGCTATGCAGTACACAGCAGGCTTGTTCAATTACTTTTCAAACTGTCTTGCCCTTTCTCCTTAACGCTCCAAAAATAGTCAAAATGGAGACAAACAGTTTTGCCCTTCAGAGCCAGTCTGAATTCAATACCTGATATTTAAACATCTCCCCTAATACTTGTCATACTATACATGAATTTGATTGATGGCTAAGTTTTTATAATTTAAACTGAATTATTTATAGAAGTTCTGTTTAAATGACTTCACGGGAAAATTCCCCGTTAAGGCCAGCAACACATCCATTAACTCAGGGGTGGGCAAAATGCAGCCCGGGGGCTAGAATGGCCTGGCAGGCAGCATCTGTCCAGCCTGTGGGGCCCCTAAAAAATTTAGAAAATTAGTATTTATCTGCCCCTGTCATGCGGCTCTCGATGACTTGCCAAAACTCAGTAAGTGGCCCTCCACCTGAAATAATTGCCCGCCCTTGCCTTAACTAAAACTGCTAAGCTCCCAGCACTCAACTCTTCCAAGAAGGGTAAGGACAACTTAACCTTTAACTTAATTTTCCTGGGTTATGTTACACACTACATGGCTCAGAAAGTTCAAGCATCTCTTTGATTAGATTCAGGAAACTCAAGATTTGTAGAAATCTGAAGTAAGAGATAAAAGAAACCTGCTAAGATCCCTAGATCCCGACTCCAACCCAGCCAGCACAGAAGTGCTCTAAAAATATGGTGCAAGTGCCACAAACAGTCCAAATACGTTACTCACACAGACCCCCCCAGCCTTCCTACAAAACTTCAGCCTCCTACTTCAGAAAATGTTTGTGTACTTTTAGGCTAAATTTTAATTTCCTTACACTACACCTGATTGCCATGTATTTCGCCACTCCAGGAAACACAGCTGCAGGCTAAAATGAAAAAGCAGAATGGATTGGGATTTTGCAAGCATGGAGGTGGGAACGCTTAGCTTTGTACCACTACTCAGGTTCTTGCTCACCTTACAAAAACAGCTGCAATTTGACTGTGTTTTTATGTTACCCAAGCCAGTCAGTCATTTTAAGTAATCAGCCTAGGTTTCCTTTAATCATTCTTCTCCCTGTCTGTACTACAGTGCTTCCTCCCTGGGGAGCTCCCAGCCAACACTGGAGAATTAAACAGTATGTTATTTGAAAGTGGTTGGTTGGAAATTTTAGCTGGGGATTCTGGTATCTTCCGAGAGGTCTCAATCACAGAGTTTCTCATTGTATCATTCATTTCAATCACTTCAAAGTCTGCTTCATTCCATTCTTCTGCATCCTCCTCCTCTTCATCTTCATCCAGTCCAGAGCTGGACAACAAAGCTTTCCGGTCCTCACTCTCACCACTGTCCTCCAACATACTCTCACTGGAAGAGGTGGCCAATTTATACATCACAGGAAAGAGCAGTGCTGTTGTTACTGAAGCTCCCAGTGCAGCATACATTATCACTGGCAGATGGTAAAACTTCCCTTCCAAAAACCCAACTGCTGCTGGAATACACATCTCTCCCAAGGCAGCACCAACCACAAAAAGAGAAGCAGACTTTCCTTGTATAGTGGTGTACTGTTCAATCCAGGAAATGCCACTGGGAAAGGTGGCAGCCATTGAAGCCCCGTACACTGTACTCCCAGCCCATAGCGAGATAGGATGTGTAGCAAACAGTACCAAAAACAAGGAGGAGACAGTACTGCCTATGACACTAAGCAGAATCATAGTACCAGGGTATAAACAGGCAGCAAAACAGATTGCAAGGCCTCTGCAAGCTGCAAATGCTCCCCAAAAGACAGAGTTCAAGACAGCTGCTTCACTTTCCTTCATATCAGCGTAGCCCTTTGCGTAAGTAAAAATGTAAGAGCCATAGGAAACTTCTGCTCCTACATAGCAAAAGAAAAATATGAAAAGAAGAATGAGGAGAACATAGTGGTATTTGGCAATCCGGCATTTGTGCACAGAAGCCTTTGTTTTATCTCGCATTGGGCTGTTCCTTGAATATAGGATAAAAAATAGCAAAGAAATTAACAAAATATAGGTGCCTATAACAATGAAGGACCACAGAAAGTGAATGCTGAAATAGAGTTTGAATGCTGATGCAGGCAGTGCTGTAGATATAGAACTCAGAACAGACTGATTTGTTTTTTCACCTTCATTATGGAGTTGAGATATGGGGCTGCCCAAAGCCATTTTAGCCAAGAGGGGAGCTACAAAGGCACCCAGTGCAAAACTGAAGTGTAAGGCCTGCATGTGTGGTCCAGCGTCTGCTCCCCATGTATTCAATGCAAGGACATTGCCACCTGTAGGTTAAAGAGATTGTTTATTTAACAGCAAAACAAATTACAGGAAAGTTATCTCCTCGCACATTTAGTTAATATGCATGGTCAGACTGGCAAGGTACTCATTATACAGCAGCAGCAGCCAGCAGTTTATAAACAGGCTCAAAGATGACATGAACTAATCTATAATGTGAAAACTCCAATCCTGGTGAAAAAGAAATTCTGCTCATATATGCTTAGCAATAAAGGGTTTAATCAGACATGTTGTTTTGACTTGTAATCTCCAGAATAAAAATACTTCCATTTGGCGATATTATGGATCAGAGCCAAACCTTCTGAACATTTCTTACAAACTAGACAGTATAGGAAAATTTGATTTTGGGAACCCTGGCACATTTTGTTTTGGAAATACTGAAATAACCACATGTCCTCCCTGCAGTGCAGTGAAATGATCAAATAAGCTATTTCGTCTACAATTTTTCAATGAGCTCTAGTTGACAGGCTCCAGAGGACTCCTTCAATCCAAGCAGGAAGGGGAATTTGTTCACTTACCTGTGTCCAGAACTCCCATGGAAACTCCAATGACTGACATCAGGCCTGTTAACATTAATGCCTTCTTACACCATGGTATGGCATAAAGACCAACTGCTGTTCCCAGCATAGATAACCCTATAAAAGGTAAAAAATAGGCTGAAATCCACAATGCAGCTTCAGTGTTCAGCATGGATTGTAGAGATCTGTGAAAAAAAAATTTAGGCACAATCTGAACATTATAATACGGATAGATTACACTGAAACAGGAGACAGTTACATAGCTAGGGAAAAAAATTTAATGGAATAATGTTCCATAGTAAAATGGAGTGCTGTCAGATTCCGATTCAGAAATTAGATTTCTTCCAATACTTCATTCAGAGATTAACCAAAAAAATTCTGCTCAAGGTCAACATATAGTGTTTCTACATTTTCTGATCATAACAGTTTAGTTTTTTATTTTAAAATTAATTTTGATCTGCTTGTTTTGTATTATGTTACTAGATACATCATCTGCTATTTCTTCTTACCTTTGAATACATTCAACACTGAAGATTTTGTATATTTTTAGTTCTTGTAATGCCTTCATTAATTCTAGCACTATATATAGTGTCTGACAGAGAAATAGGAAGTCTAAAATCTGTAAGAGGTTTATGGCCAGAACCCCCCTCTCCCCCCAAAAAACAAACAAACAAAAATCAATAGAGGTCTTAGTTACCACAATACTGAACTTTTGGATACCTAACCCTCGGAATGGAAGCCAGGACCCTGGGTGAAGTGTACATACTCCACATCTAGTATGCAGGAAATGACAGACACCTCAGAATGGGTACCCAAAACAACCTGTCTACTCAGGAAGGAAGCCGTCTACTTCCTAGAATCAGCATGTTCACATATAGGCACCTCTAGCAAGCAAGAGGGGAAGACTGAGACAGGGCAACTCTTCAGTGTTATCCAGCCAGCCCACTCAGTGTTGCGGGGATGCATTTCTAGCCACAACACCCACAGCTCAAAAACTTTCCTGCAGGTAGGGACTACACTGTCTTAAAAGAGAAAAACAGATCCCCAATTACTCTTGCATTCCTGTGGCACAATTTCAACAGTTCAAAGTTGGAAGTTGCTGTCAATACAGAGGGGGAGCAAGATGTGATGCAAAAATAATAGGAAGACCTTGAGATAGAAGTAATAGAAACAAGGAATTGGAAATCAAGAAGTGCAAGATTGTGGACTTAGGGACCAACAATAAGAACTTTTCCCATAAGCTCAAAAAGATGGAAAAGGAGGAGAAGAAAGACTGAGATTTACCAGCAATCACAAGATAACTATAACCCAGCTCTGAAAAAGGCAAAAATGATCCTAGGATGCATCAAGCCACATAGTTTAGAAAAAATACGTAAGTATTAACTCCGTAACAAGACACCGGTCACATCCCATCTGGAGTACTATGTCAGAAGGTCAGCCACACTCAGGAAAGATGCTCACAAACTGAAATGGGCAGAAGATGGCTACTAGAATGATCAGGGAATGTCCGTCTTAGTCAAGATTAGGAACGGCTGGCTTGTTTAGCCCAACAACCAAAGCCAAGAGGAGGCAAGACTGCTCTCTAAAAATATGTTAATGGATAAAAATCAGGAAGGAAAAAGCAATATAAGCTAAAAGAAATTTTGACATGAGAACAAATGGGTGTGACTTGACCCTGAGTAGATTAGTTTGAACATTAGAAGAATCTGCCTAACAGAAGTGGGGTTCTCTCAAAGTTTTTCAGTAGAAATTATATGAACAACCCCCCTCCTCCACAAAAACACAAAACAGTTTGAGATGGAGCTGGATAAGTATATGAAGCTGATTCAGTGAGGGGGGCGGGGTTCCTATAGCAGTAGAGGACTCCAATCAGTGATCCAGCAGATCCCTTCCAGGTCCATGTTCTTGAGGCATGGAGAGTGGCCTCACAAAGAATAACCTAGGAAGTTAGATCATGTGGATTTGAAACTCCATCTCTCCTCCCTCAGCAGAAAAGGGAACTAAACTCATGCGTCTCACTTTCCGGTTAAGCGTTCTAACAAACAAAGAATGGGGGCAGGGGGAGGTTAACAGCAACTATTAAATTTTGCAGGGAACACACCTACTCATGTATCTTAAATATGTTCTGCACATTGAAGTCCTCAGGTAGCCAGGAGGGAGGACCGGGTCTGTAGATCCTGATTGTGATGAGACTTGACCTAGGCACTGTCAACTCCTACCCTGTCAAAACTGAGGTAAGAGGCAAAAGTACAAAAGTTGACCTTTCAGGTGCCTTGGGAACTTCACAGCCACAAACTGCAGCTTCTGTGGAGAGTAAGCACCTTCAGAGTTAGGCAGCTGGGCAGGGTTTTCAGGACTGCAACTTCAGACTTAGGTACCCAAGCCTCACTTCAAGTGCATAAGTCTATTGCAGATCTAGCCCTACACCCATAAATGTTGTGCTTTTACTCGAGGTAGAAAAAGAAAGTTGTTCTATTGAGTGCAGTGCAGAAACCAACTTCTACAGCATCTTTCTTGGTTAAGCTGCAATGCAACATGCATGGTGGCAAAATGCAAAAACACTTGCCTGGGATGGTTTAGGCATGGATGATACTGCCTTGAGCTGACGGCTGAACTGGATGCCCCCCCTGAAGAATGAGTCTCTTTTTATGCACTTACAGATATGACCATGATACAATGTCATAGATTTTTAGGGTTGGAAGGGACCTTAGTAGATCATCAAGTCTGACCCTCTGCCCTGGGCAGGAAAGAGCGCTGGGATCAGATGGCCCCAGCCAGGTGTTTGTCAAGCCTCCTCTTAAAGACCTCTAAGATAGGGGAGAGCACCACCTCCCTTGGAAGCCCATTCCAGCCTCTGGTAACCCCTACTGTAAAGAAGTTTTTCCTAATGTCTACTAAACCTGCTCTCTGTCAGTTTGTGGCCATTGTTTCTAGTTACTCTGTTTACCAGGGTGCCCCTTGGAGTATCTCCTATCCCTTGCTGCCCTGCCCTGCTCTCCCCCCCTCAAACGAATTTGTAGACGGCCACCAGATCCCCTCTCAGCCTTCTCTTACAGAGGTTGAAGACTTCCAGGTCCCTTAATCTCTCCTCGTAGGACCTTTCCTGCAGGCCCCTAACCATATGAGTTGCCCTCCTCTGGACCCTCTCAAGGTTATCCACATCTCTTTTGAAGTGCAGCACCCAAAACTGGACATGGTACTCCAGCTGATGCTTCACCAATGCCATATAGAGGGGAAGTATCACCTCCTTAGATCTGTTCGTGATGCACCTAGTAATGCATAACAGAGTGTGGTTAGCTCTGTTAATCACTTTGTCGCATTGTCGACTCAATGTTCATCTTTGAGTCAAAATTTGATTTGCTTATATATATATATGTTCCCACAACCACTCACTCACCCCACAAAACAAAATCCAAGTCTCTTCATCAGACCAGGCAAAAATATTCATTGTCAATTCTAAAGCACTTTATCAGGCCTACCAGTCTTTTCCTCATCGCTGGGAAAAGCACTCAAATGCTGGAAGCACAAATGTAAAAGGAGGCAGAAATTAAGTGATAAAAGGAAAAGTATTTTCCTGGTTTAGAATGAAACAGCTTAAAAAAACCCATAATGCCGGTGCCAACACACGCACTTCCATCCTTTACACCTGTAACCCTCTTAATTTCTGTAGCTCTGTGTCACAAAGATCATGGCGCTGCTTAAAGATTCATTGTCACGTAAAAAAAAATGATACAAACCTTTCAAGTCCACTCACCCAAGAGAAGATGAGGGTTCATGCAGTCAAAGAGAATCCCTCCAACCACTGACCCTCCAAGGTAGCCCACCGAACGCCCCACGAAGATGTAGTAGATGTCACTGACATTTTTATTCACATTGCTAGCTAGATCTTGAAAGGTAGGTCCCACAACAGCAATGCTCATGCCCTGGAAAACATTAGTAAGCACCAAATGAGCCCCTGCCAACAGTAAGACGAGAGTTAACAGCCACAAAAAGCTCAGTGACAAATGGAAAACGGGGCTCTACATTTCATTTGAAACAGCTGCAAATCCCCCAAAGCGGGCAAATCTCTCCTACAAAGCCCCAGGGAAGGTGTCTCCTCCAATAAGTGCTGCCAAAAGCTACAGGCCGGCGTTTTCGCAGTGCCGGAACCAGTGAAAGCAACCTGCCGCAGGTGAGCACCTCCAGAGGCTCGGGACGCACTGGCTTCACCCAGGCACAGGTTCAGGTGCTACGGCTCTGTGCAGCGGCAGATCCCGAAGGTGTGCAGGGACGCAGCTGCACCCTGCTTTGGGCCTGGATCCCCCCCCAGGCACGGGTGGGGTCCGCTGGGAACAGCCAAAGCAGCTGAGGCCACGGGCAAGGGCTCCTCCCTGGGGGACCCACTGGGGCAGGCTGGGGGCACCCACCCCCACACAGCCCTGGCTGCCACGGGGGCTCCCAGCCCGAGCCAGGTGTCACCCTGGCCCCGCCCCCGACA